ACCCCCACCCCCCCCGAAGTTCACTTGTTTACTGCAGATTCGGGGTCCTCTAGGGTAGTGCAGCACAACCCTGCCTTCAAAAAAAAAATAAAAAATTCCTTGCTGTGTTTTTGCGTCGCCCGGTTTCGCCGGGCGGAGCCCGCCGGGCCCAACCGGCCGGGCGGCGGCCCAGCCTAGTTAATTAATGGTTTTGAGTGCTTCCGCTGTGTAATATCATCACCTGGTTTGGTGTGAATTTCTCTCTCCAAGTCTACTTGCCTTCCGCATGCATGTGTATGGGAACATGTGAATGGCATGCTGGATTTCGTTTTCAATCAGGCACCTAACATACAGCTATAATGACTAGGCGTTCTATTCGGGTGAAGACGATAGTCTTACTCATCCCCAAACCCCTCCCCACCCCCATGCCCACCCCCACCTCCACCCCCACTCCAACTGACCATGCCATCAGAGATGCCTACGATGCCTCCAATGATGCCATCCCTTCAAAGCTCTTCGTGCGGTCTTACAATTTGGGCTGAAAGAAATTCCTTCTATCTACTGAAGAGTGTCCTTGGGGACATCCTCTAAACTTGGGAACGATACAGAGAAGACTACCGTAGCCCTTTTGCAAGGATGACACACATACATTGAAAGATGGTCCAAATTGAGAAATGAAAAGGGTATCTGACTAACCCTCTCATGTCGAAGCCACCTGGGGAGCTCTACAAATAAATCGAAAAATGCGAAAAATGCACGAGGGAAATGCCTCCCTCATGAATATTTGTTACTGAGTATGTAAACCATGCCAAAGTCAACTGTTAGTTCGCACTTCGAGGACATCAAGACAAACTGGTTAGGGAAAAAAAAAACGGTCAGTAGGTACTAGGTAGCACCATTGCCTATCATATCTTGTTTTTTTGGTTTGTCTTCAGACTCTTCACCACTTGTTTTTTTTTTTACGACTTTTTCGTCCTCCTTTGCAATCCGACGATCCACTTTGCAAGATATTCACATGGATGGACGCATTGGACGAGCATCCCGAATTTACATGTCAACTGGCGTCACCACGTTATGTGGCGCGCAATGAAAATTATGGTGGAGAGACACCCCAGAACGCACCTTGGCCGCCTACCTTGAGATCGGACCGCGGTCACACTTTTCACGATCTCCATTTGGCATGCAGCTTGCCATCAGCCGTGCCCCCGCGGCCCATGCTCGATAAGGGTTGGGATGGCAAGGCACGTTGGACCTGATTTCTAGCAGGTGCATCTCCCCACCAATAAATCGGAGCAACTGGGGATGCCTACTAGTGGGGGCTGATCTTATCAACCCCTCTTTTTTTTTCTTTTTTTTTTTGGGACAAATGCTCCAGTCTATTTGTGGGGAGCAACACGTGCTGGGAACCGGGCCCAGCGTCCCGTATGGAATCATACAAGTCATTTGAAATACCGGGGCCATTACCCGGTTTGGGCTGAGAACAATCAACCCCTCTTGTAGACAGTGACCAGCTTTATTAGAAAGAAAAAAAAGAAAAGGATCAAGAAAATGCTATTATGAGATAGGCAAAGGCGACCAAAGCTGTCAACAACGTGCGCTTTTATTCACTGCATGACGTGTGTAAATGACTTGCTGGTGGAAAATTAACCTCTTAACTGCTGCTCCACAAAATTGAACCGGGTGGTGACCATGAGGCGATGTTTTCCCACAAAAAAAAGGACCAGAAATAGGAGCATGTGTGGAAATGAAGGGCAGGGACCTTGTGGCTGGATGGTAAACACACATGCAGTTGTCCATAAACAGATCACGAGCAGAGCGAAAATATTCTTCTTGAGTTTGGCTATGTCGAATAAAGAATCTTGCAGTGTGTGTAATCTGACTAATCTTCCCTCAGAACCGTGCGTGGAAGATTTCCAAGCACTTTGCCAAGACTACTGACTGTTTCCCTTCCATTTTCATGTACTATGGAAACTCTGATGCCACACTTCGTGCGGGCACACGGACAATCTTATACCATGCTGAATTCCAGTTCCTTTGAGTCGAGCTTTGTGTAAGGTTCTCATGCGCTAGCTGACCATCTTTCCCCAGATAGAACGCACAGTCATTACAGCAGCTGTATATGGGGCAACATTTGGTCTAGCTACAGTGATAATGACTGTGTATTCTATTTGATGAAGATGGAAGTGATGTAACTACCAGTGGCCTTGGTTGTTGCAGTGGTGGCTGCCCCATAGTGTCACTAGTGGTTAATGGAAGGCCCAAAATTCGGGGGGGGTTGCCGCATCACTACAAGCAATGTTGCCGACTTTTTCGTTACTCGTCCAAATACGGCAAAACTGAATACAGATATACACTAAGCACGTACATATCAGACAAAAA